ACTGTGTCGGGGCTAGTCCGCAGCAGTGGTAACAGCTGTAGAAACCCAACCTGCCCATTCCCTTGCCAGTTTGTTGCCACTAGCTCAGCCTCAGCCATGAGTAGCTTTCATTCAGGCCACCAGCAGCCTGCTGAAGTCAATCAAGCAGCCTCTCTCCTCTCGCTCACACACACGTGCACGCCCACACACGCCTGCTCCCTCCAAAGCCAGCGCTTGGAAATCACAGCCAGAAACAGGTTAGTGGGGACAGAAGTACATCCACTGTCTCTGGCCGAGAACTACCAACTGGAAGAAAAACGGAAACCCCCAAACCAAGATTTTCATCATCTAGATTAGTCATTAGCCCCAAGCTAGACATTCTGTCTTTCTTTTTTTTTTACCAGAACTGTGTATCTCACTGATTAGAAAGAGCAGCTCTGGCCACATCTGTTGGGCACCCTGTCCTCAGCTGGCTCTGATAATGACTTTCTGTGCCCATGGCCAGGTCTCAATTATGCTGACTGCCATGGGGCATGTAATGGTGGGCTCCAGAGGAGGGAAGCTCTGTGACAGCCCTGGCTTCCCTGGGTGTGAGCCCACCATGATTCTGACCTTCCCATAACCAGAAGCTTCCCCAGGTGCGAGTGAGGTTCAAAGACACATGGTGAGTCATCCAGGGACACAGACTTTGGAGTACCATCCCCGGATTTGTCTCCTACTCCTACTCAGTGCTATTTCCAATACTCCATATAGAAGATGACTGAGCCAACAACTCCAACCTCAATTAACAAACCTGGTCCCTGTGCACCAAGATACGGCTGCAAGAACAGTGAAATATTGGAACCACCTAAATATTAAACAAGAGGAAATGGAAATACATATATGTAGATATGAAGTGGTAGAATGTAACTGTGGAAAGGTTGTCAAACTACTGTTAAGTAAACAAGCAGGCTAGGAACCCCACCTGCACCAGGAGACCCACAGAAAACAACCCTGAACGATGGACTACAATGTTACTAGGTTATCTCCAGGTGCTAGGATTATAGGTGACCTTTTCTTTCTTCCCGTTTGCCTGTATCTGCCAACATAAACACAGATGACAAAGTAAACAGCAAAATCTCCTATCACTTGATACAATGTGTCACATTCCAAATTGAAACCTTCTCACGAGAAATCTCTCCTGTTTTATTATAGGCACCTTTTTCCTAGGCTCGCTATATATTCCAAACCCTTATGTCTCCTTGTATCTGGCCCAAGTGAAAGCCCATACTCGTGGTGGTAACGCCAGGGTCCTCACACCAGTCTAGAGAACAGCATTTCTGCTGCCTTCCCTGTCTCCCCACTTAGTTTCCTGTGGAAGGCTCCGCCCTCCACATGCTACCTGCTGCAGCCTGCCAATTCCAGAGTGTGAGACCAGAAGACAAATAATCAATGACAGCTTATCATCCATCTGCCGACATATGTCCTTACAATACTAAATATAACTCTTTCACATACCATTTTTGCCTTAGAAAATTGGCAAAGTTTTCCAAAATGATAAAGCCTCAGTGTTGGCTCTCCTACAGAGCTATAGCAATATAAATTGATAGTGTTGGTGTTCCTTTTTCGACAACAGTTTGGCAATACATATCAAGATCTCCAAAATATGCATGACCACTGATCCGTTTCTCAAGGAAATACTGTGCTTGAGAACATGCACAGAGATTCAGCTTCCAGGACATTAATCATGATACTATTTGTAACAATGATTGAGAACAACCTTAATGTCCACAGACAGCAAGACTGTTAAATCATGGTTTACCCATGTGCACTCATTAAAACACTGTGTTGTAATTAGAAGTATGTTGTAAAAGAAAAATGACCTGATGAGGTGTTCACAAGTAAAAAAGCAGATAGAAGATCCCATTTTTGTTTTAAAAATATTTACATATCCATGTATAAATATATACAGATATATATATATACATATTATATGTAGATATAGACATGTAAGTAATTGCAAAAAAACCAGCATTTCATCTCTAGGTGATGATATTACAGGACGATTTTTAAATTTTGTATACTTTTCTGTATTTTAGCTTTCCTACAAAGAACATGTATCCCCTCTGTAATAGGTTTTGGGTGGCTTATTTGTTTTTTAAGTAATATCCCACTTTTCCTCCTCAGATTTGAAATTGCTTTCATCCTGGCTCAGATTTGATACCTAACATTTTGGTTAGAATAGTCCCTAGCTGATTAAAGCAGATGGGAAACTCTTCTCTGTTCTAAATCATACTCCTAGTCCTCCCCCTTCTGCCACCATCAGCTCCTACTCCCTGACTTGCCCTTTTAGAGCCTTGCTGGAAATGCACGGGCTCCAGTCCCTCCATCCCCATGGCACTGCCTAAGGGGCTGTAACACGCCAGGAGGACCACTGCCTCGGGGCCACCACCACCGTGGTCGAGGCAGGCTCCCACCTTTCCTCTCCAGCCACTGACCCCAGGCTGAAAGCAGTGCAGCCAGGGTCTCAGGACTCGTCTCAGGATCCAAGGAGTGGGCGATGCTCAGCAGACTGTGACAACAGTGACGTGCTCTGGGGACCACAGCAGGGAGGCCAGGAGAAGGGAAGGAAGCAGAAGAGTCCGGGAAAGAGCAGACATAAAAGCCATGCTGAACACCCACCCAGGAAACTCTTGGGTGCCATGTTTATGCGAGTTGAGCTGGTCTCACGGCCTCCAGAGGACCAGTCCACTCTGGGAGCACCCCCCCACCCCCGGGCCCACCCATGCTGCCACATCCTCAAACAAAGCCTGGGACCCAGCTCTCAAAGCTTCCACATACTCACATTCTCAGGAGTTTCGTTGTTTGCTTTCTGCCTCCGAAGATCTGCCCTAATGAATGCTGAGGTCAAGAGATTGAGAAAGAACAACAAAGACACAATTAATAAGAGACCAATGATGAAGTTCACCCAAGAGAGGGAGCCCTCATTTTCCTAAGGGTCACAGGTATCTCAGACCTACCGTAGATATTCCAGGGAGATGGAGGTTCTACCCACCAACTTGACAAAGCCTGGGGATCACTGATGTCCCTACAGGCAGAAGCCAAGGATGACACTGGCTTTCATTTGTAGATCAGTTATACTGGCCAGGGAGTTTGCACATGTTGCTCCAATCCTTACAACAACTCCCATTTTATAGATTAAGAAACTGAGCCTTCCAGAAGTTGGTCCATTTGTCCAAGGTCAAACGGCTATGGAGGTCAGTGTCACAGTCTGGGATGCAAAAACGGGTCTTTTGACGCCAAATCCCAGGCTCATTCCACCAAAACATGCTCCTGCTTCTCAAACACATTTCCTTCCCCTCTGCCCATCTGCACGTGTACCCCCAATCTGTATGATCAGTCAAAACACTGAGGTCTCAAATTGCCAGCAGCCTAAGCCCACGAGCAGCCTGAGTGAGCATCATCTTGTCTTGAGGCCCCAACTCACCAGTGAGGGCCGCTCCAAGGGTGAGGAAAACACAGAGAAAGATGTTCCCAGGCATGGTTCCATAGTTGTCAATAATCTGGCCCTGGGAGATGGTGAAGATGATCCCGAATACCTGGAAAGGCACAAAGAAGACTGAAAACAGGGCCCGGCCAACTAGCCCATGAGAGAACTGAGCTACCATGATACAATGCCTGTGGCAGCCAAGTCAAGTAGGAAACAAAGAGCCACTGCTTTGGGGCTACCACCAAATAAGAGCCCTACCTGGGCAGACACATTCAGGAGGCCGGACGACATGCCTTCTGATTCTGGGTATGTCAGCTCCACAGCAAACTCAAATCCCAGCGGGAGGTAGCCAGTCATGAAGAAGCTGAAGACCAGATCACAGAAACAAGGTGATGGAGAAATTCAAGAGCAAGAAGGATAAGGAGCCCACCTCCTCCCTTAGAATTCCTTTTCCTCTTTTGTTTCTGGTCATCAAGACATTCCAGGCCTTTGAATAATCAGGCCATCCCTCAGGTGGCCATACCAAGGAAAGAGAGGCCCCCACAGCTCAAGAAGAAGTTCATATGGAGGCTTCATGCTCAGGAGCCCCCGGGGGTCTCCTGCTGCTTCTATGTCCAGCCATCAATTACAGACAGGGTCAACATTGGCAGAAGGGAATGGGGGATGCCTGCAGTGTTCAGTCCTCAGCTGAGAAATTCTGTGTCATGGGTCCCCAGGCCCTGTGCTGGGAGTGGGAAGTCCCTGGACACTGAACAGCCTCTCCATGCTCTCTGGGACCTGGAAGGAGGATCTCAGAGTCCTCCTTTTTCCCTCTGGAGAGTCGCCAGCTGAGAAAGACTGAGTGTCTGTCTGTCTCTCTCACACATACATTCATATAGTGCCCACAGGAAAATAACTGGGATGTGAAGCTAAGCAGAGACCCCTGTGGAAAGTGTGCTGTTTCCTGTGCTTTCTCATACAACAGGTCCAGAAAATTCCAACTCTAATTTCTTATATCTGTACCACACTTCGTGCTGCTTTCACACTTCCTTCTCTCTCACTCCTTGCAACAACTATACAAGACAGGCCACTCTCATCTTCATTTACAGATGAGGAAACTGAGGCTCAGAGCAGTTAAGTGATGCACCTGTCATCTAAAGATCAGCAGGGGAACCAAGACCAGGACCTAGACTTCCTGATTCCCAGCCCTGTGCACTTTCTCCGACCCCGCACTGTCCCAGGCAGAGCTACAAAAGACTCTAAACATTTCCTAGCCTCCCTGAGGTCTGTGAAGGTCAGACTCCATCCCAACAGCACGGAAGGCCCGGGCAGCCTTTTGAAGTGCTGTAAGTAAACAAGACCTCTGGCCACGATTTCCACATCTCCAGAGGTCAATGAGAAGGCAGCAAAGGGGTCAGTGTTGCTTCCAAGGATGTCGGCAGCTCTAGGAGCCATGGGACGCTGCTTTCCAGTTAGACAAGTCAGAGGTCAAACTTACCCCATTGTGCCAGCGGTGATGAACACGACCCACAGATATCCCAGGTTCAAGGTCAATGTGTACACCACCATGCCCACTAAGGTCATGATGTAGACCACCAGGGTTGTCTCCCTACAAGCAGAGGCAAAGACATTGAGTCATACACTTCTGACTGTAACAGGATCATCCATCCATCCATCCATCCATCCATCCATCCATCCATCCATCCATTCATTATACAAGTATCAGTTGGGCACCTGCTATGTGTCAAGCCCTCTGCTGTGTGCTGGGACATCTGCTCTCAGAACCTTCTGTCCATGAGGTTGATGGACACTGAACCAATGATCACACAAATGGTTACTTAATTACACTTTGGCCCGTGCTACAAAGGGGAGGCTCAGGAGAGGATGAAGCCTTCTTGCTACATCCGTGTGTTCGACTCCTGCAGAAACCTCTCAACAATATCAAGCTGCACCCCAAGCAAGAAGGGCACAACACTCTCCCTTCCTCGTCCTCCACCAAATAAACACAGAACAAGTATCAGCTACTGTCAGGCAGCATGGCGTGTGGGACTACCCCAGAAGCCACCTCATTCTGCTGGTCTGCTTTGCCCCAAGAGCCCATGGCCATGCTGGGCAGTGAGCTGACTTTCAGATTCTCTGTCATCTCGAAGTTCTTCCTGTTGCCACTGGCGCAGGTGCAGCACAGATTTTTCACCGAACCTGAACTACTCTGCTCCAGACAGCAGAAAGTAAGTGAGAACATTCTCCAGCCCTGAACTAAGCGCTTGACTCCCAAGCCAAAGTGAGAAAGCTCTGCCCACTCTCCGTGACATTCCCCTTTGCCAGTCCCCTCAGAGGGACCATCAGCAGCCTGCTGCTCTCTGTTTGGGGTTCACCCTGCTTGCACCCCTCCCCACATTTCTCCTCCCATGTTGCCCACTCGTGACTCTGCTGCAGCCTCACCCCTGCAGCTGGACTTGTGTTCCTCTCCCTGTCCTGCTTATGGCAGGCCGCGGGCTCCGCACATCCCTCTGCCCGCCTGCCACAAAATGAGGACTCAGAGACGGAAAGCTGAAAGCTGAAAGCCTTCACGCATCCCCCCTGAAACAAGAAACACGGTGGGGGCGCCAGCAGACGTACACTGTGGTTTTATCAAACTAATCCCGCATTTATTGGGTGCTGGGAATTCTATTAAGCACTTCGCGTGCATTTCTTATTGCACTCAAGCCTGACAAAAGTCCTGCAAGAAAAGGATGACTATCCCTAATTTTGCAAATGAGGAAACTGAGGCTCAGACCAATTAAGTTACTTATTCAGAATCACCCAATGAGTAAATGCAGAGCTGGGATTTGGACCCAGTGCTGGGATCTGAAACCTATGCTGCTCTTTCTACTGCTGCACACAGGACCTAATACTCTAATACACACGGACACGCTACAGGCTTGCATCTTCGGGAAAGCTCAAAGCCAGAGGCTGCAGAGGATGCCCCTCCCACCTGGGGCTTCAAAGCAGCTGCTGAAGGCAGAGGGGCTTCCTCGTCCTCCATCCTGCACCCTCATCTGGTCCCACCCACCCCGCAGAAGGCAACTTCATGGATACCAGTTTCTTTTGCCGGCCACACGAGCCCCTCTTTTGCTGTATTTGCTTAACCATAGCTTCATGTTAAACCACTGGCCCATTTAGAAAAACTGTAAGTAGTCCCAGCCTCAAATAACGGGATATGACCCACCCAATTTCCAGCCCCCACACCAAACGGGACAAATTTGGGAGCCACGGGGAGAAGAGAACGGGCACCAAAATGCCCTGATCACAGAGCATCCTTTCTCTGTCCGGGTCGTAGCGCAGGGTGAAGGGCATCTCATGCTGAAGGCAGGAGTTGGACATCAGTGATGCCAGCAAACGGTGGCGTCTATGTTCTGAAGTGTGCCCTCAGCCCTTTCCCTATATTTTCTAGTTCTTCTCAAGCCATCTGGCTGCCCACATCCCAGCCCAGCTGTCGTTCCAATCCTTCCCCTCTCCCGCCATAGAGCAAGCCCTGGGAGAAGGGACACTGCTGTTCGCCGGTTTGGGGGTGGCCAGTCCTCACTGCTCTTGGGCCTGGCCGAAGCAAGCCACTGACAGATAGATGGCAGAGACGAGATGGCAGCCAAGCTCCGCCAGCAGTCATTAAGCCACGCCAGGCTCCACGTCGCGTTCAGCCAGGCAACCACATCCCCAGGGATGACCTCAACTGGCCTTTGTCTGGGGCAGCCAGAGTGAGACCTGGTCTGACCAGAGCCTCACAGAAGCGGGTTTGTGTGGCAGAGAACAGGTCTGCCACTGTCTGTCGCCTCCAGACACGGGGAGCTTTGGAGGCCTCAACAAAGCAGCTGCCCTGCCCCAGTGTAGGACAAACCTGGCAGCTACCCAGTTGACCAGTATTAATTGAGCACCCAGTGCATGCTCAGCACTGGAAAGGAGCAACAAGAAGGGAAGGGTGTTGGGTCTCCATTCTCCAGAGCCTTTTTCTAAGCCTGGCTATTGACTTGAGGCACCTGGGTGGATTGCTCTTTACAAATGCAGTTTCCCCCACTGAATTGGCATCCATGAGGATGGGGGCCAGGAATCTATTTTTGATAAGCGTCCTGGGTTAGCCTGGCATACACTAAAATCTTAGAAAGACTGCTCTGAGCTCCTGGAAACACACTGGGCATTCAGGCCCAAAGCACATCACAATATTCACGAAGGAGATATAAGCAGTTGCAAGATGATACAGTGTAAGCCAGAGGAAGCCCAGACACCTTGGTTAGCCCCTAGGAGCCAGGGGAATGGGGCAGGGGATCACTTCCTCATTGCCACTCTTTGGGGTTTCCATAAGCTTTCCAACTGCTGGCATTTTTCTACATTCATTTTCATTTCTCCCTCATTTGCCCCTTCTGCAAACTACATGGGGCGATGGGGAAGAGTACTGTGCTAGGCCTCTTGTCCTCCATCTCTAATCTCATCAAGATCCCCCACGGAATGTGTACTATTTCCCTCATTTTATAAATGGAAAAACTGAGGCTTAAAGAAGATAAATGTGAAGACCACTGAGACCCCCAGCTGCTGCACCCAACCCTTTGGAGTCATATTGCCGAGGAATGTGTCATTTCAAAACATGGGTCCCCAATTCTCAGTCCAAGAGGAGGTCACTTACTTGTAGGTTTTGGACCTATCCAGCCAGATGCCTGAGATCATAGCCCCAAGCATTCCTGCAATGACGATGGTCAGGCCGATTCTTCCAGCATTCACTTCTTCCCCCTGGGAAAACCACAGCCCCAGTGATCACCCAGCAACGGGACAAGACACCAGACAGAGCACAGTCACCAGGAGGTGACAGGGGAAAGGCAAGTAACTCAGGCTCCATTAGAGCCTATTCTCTGAACGTACCAGGGCAAGATGGCCTTTAAGAAGCTGCCAGTGGAGAGAGACTCCTAGAATAGTTGCTCCTCCCAATCTAATATAACCCAGATGTGTGCGCATGATCCTGGATGCTGAGGTCAACCAAACTGTCCTAGACCCAATTTGAAGTAGATCTTTTTAAATTTAATCCTTACGGCAACCCTTTTATCTTATTTATCATTATCCCCATTTCACAAATGGGGAGACCAAAATACATATATCCAAATATTCTGTACTTAGTTGTTTTTGTTTTTTTTTTTTTGAGCTATTAGTGCCAAAAGGAATGGGAAGATAACCATTATATCATCTCATTTACTTCTCAAAATTCCCCACCATAAGGTTAGAAATCAATATTCTACACTTTACAGATGAAAAAAACTGAGGCACAGTGAGATTAACCTGCTAGCCAGAGGTCGTGTGGCATTTACTAAGTGCAGAGCTAGGATCCGAACTCACACCTATCAAACTCCAAAACTGGAACACATTAGCCACAGTGGCCTACCACTTCTGCAAGTGTGAGACCCTTGTCCTTTCAAAAGGGGGTTGGACCTGGGATTCCCGACTCCAGGACACACAGTATCCCACTCCCAGGATCCAGCCCTTGCTGGTTCTGGAAATATTTAAGAAATGCTTTCAGGGATGCCTGGGTGGCTCAGTCGGTTAAGCCTCTGCCTTCAGCTCAGGGCATGATCCCAGGGTCCTGGGATGGAGTCCCGCATCGGTCTCCTTGCTCAGCAGGGAGCCTGCTTCTCCCTCTGCCTCTGCCCCTCCCCCTCCTCGTGTGTTCTCTCTCCTCTCTCTCTGACAAATAAATAAAATCTTTAAAAAAAAAAGAAATGCTTTCAGTCGAGCAACTAAGAATTCAAAATTAAACTCTGCCCCTATTTTACAAATTAAATCTTTCATACATGATCTATAGGTCTGTATGTTTACCTACTGTATTGCTAGGCACCACGCCATGTGCTTTACATACATGGAACATATGAATATATATATATGCACACACACATACATAGTATTATTTACTTTCTAATCCTAAAAAATAATCTTTCAATAAGTAATTATGTTTCTGTTGCAGGAAGGAGAATGAGAGCTCAGAGAGGCTAACCAGCTTGTCACACAATTTAGAGGCACCAGAGCCAGAGGAGATCCAGGGCTGTCTCCCTCCAAATCCCATAAGCATACCACCATACCATGCTGCCTAGAACTGCGGGGGGGAGGGGGGGGCGGCGGGGAGACTAGAGCTAACTGCTGCCCCAGGTCCTGCTAAGATGGACAGAAGTCTCACGCTCTTCAGGTCCAGCATGCTCGCGGGACTACCTTACCGGGTAGTGCAAGATCACCATGCGATTCAGCAGAGTGGACAAGGCATAAAAAACACCAGCATTCAGACCTGAAAGAGGGAGGGAGACACACTGCATTAGGAGCAGCCTTCTGCTGGGGCCATTGCTAACTTCTCCCCCTGGCAGGTAGGGAGGTCAGAAATCCTCATCCTTGTTGCCATTGTGAGTGGTGTCCTCAGAAAGTAGGAGGCTACTCTGCAGTTTCTGTCAAAGACTCCAAAACAACCCAAAGTAACCATTTTAACCATTTCTTAGCCCACACCACTGCCCTCTGATCCCTTTAAGCCTGCTCTGGAAACAAGGCTCTAGAAAGCATTACTCCCAGGTCGGAACCATCTACATTCTTCTCAAGCATTGACCTATTGACCTACAGGGTCAGCAAAACTACTGGACACCTTCATCTCCTCCTGATGACCTGTTCCCTCTCCAGACTGCTCCAGGCCTCTGACCCCCACATCACTCCTTCTGTGGGTGGTTTCTCTTTTCTGTCCCCATTCCTCCTTCAGCTTTCTTCTTGGTCCAATATCACACAAAATCTTATATCTGAAACCAGAAAGGACCCTAAAGAGCATTGAGCTGACTCTCCTAACTCATCAATTCATCCAACGAATAAATGGAGCACCTAGAATATACTGTAAGAATCCATGAGGCCATTTGTCCATAGCTATACAGTCAGCTAATAGCTAAGATGAGACTGGAACTGACCCAACGGCGATGATGATGATGAGGATGAGGATGAAGATGCTGATGTTGATGTTGAGGATGACGGTGAGGAGGATGGTGAGGAAGATGACAGTGAGGAGGATAATGGTGAGGAGGATAATGGTGAGGAGGGTGATGGTGAGAAGGATGATGGTGAGGAGGATGGTGAGGAGGAGGAGGATGGTGAGGAGGATGATGGTGAGGAGGATAATGGTGAGGAGGATGATGGTGAGAAGGATGATGGTGAGGAGGATGGTGAGGAGGATGATGGTGAGAAGGATGATGGTGAGAAGGATGGTGAGGAGGAGGAGGATGGTGAGGAGGAGGATGGTGAGGAGGAGGGTGGTGAGGAGGAGGGTGGCAGTAGCACATACTTACGTACTAGACACTGTTGTAAGTACCTTACAATCCTCATAGCAAGGTAGGTAATATTATCATCTCCATTTTATAGATGAGAAAAATGCACAGAGTTTAAAAACAAATACAGAAAGTCACTTTATAATGTTCACCAGGGTCTTTTTAATTTTAACTAATTTTGAGGCTCACAAGACCATCATGGCACACGACATTAGATACACTTAGAAGACTCTAAGTAACAGGACACAGCTTGAGAGCAGGGCAGCCTCAGGGGTTCCTCTCCCACGAACCCCAGACCATGGAACCATCCAGAAGCTATCCTCTGGCCGCACGGTGATGGCACAGGTGCAGGGCAATGTGGGTATGGCAACCACCCTGGTTTAACACCTTACAGGAGCGACTATTGCTTGTAGCGTCTCCACAGGCATAGCTTTGGGGGCCCCCTAGAGGACAGGTCAGTGAAAAGAGTCACCATACTCAGAGAAGCACAAAGAATGGCCTCCTACCACATACGAAAACGTCCCCCAGTCCAGATAGTCACTTTTATCACGAGGTCATCTTTATCATACGAGATGTTGCCTAAATGCCATTCACTTACTCCCTTTATCAGGTTCCCACAGAAATGAGACACAAAGTTAAGTGCAGGAGTTTAAAAATGCAGATTCCTGGGCTCCACCCTGGATCTACTAAATCTGATTCTCCTGGAATGGAGCTAGGAATCTGTAATTTAAAAATAACAGCAGGCACCTGCGTGGCTCAGTCAGCTGAGTGTCACACTCTTGATTTCGACTCAGGTCATGATCTCCAGGTTATGAGACTGAGCCCCGTGTTGGGCTCCATGCTCAGTGGGGAGTCTTCTTGCCCCTGTCCCTCCCCCTCTGCCACTCCCCCGCCCCGCGACTCGCTCAAACATTCTCTCTCTCTCTCTCTGTCTCTATCTTAAATAAATAAATAAAATATTTTTTAAAAACAACAACAATAACAGGGGCGCCTGGGTGGCTCAGTCGGTTAAGCGTCTGACTCTTGATCTCAGCTCAGGTCTTGATCTGAGGGTCTTGAGTTCAAGTGTAGAGCCCACTTAAACAACAACAACAACAACAACCCTGGTCATTTCTTAGACTCAGTAGAGTTCAGAAATAAATGACCTTGGGAATCCAGAAGATCCAAGACCAGGCCTGGGCTCCCAGGTGCTGGGGTTAACATGGTGACAACTGGGATGGGAAGGGGCTTCAAGACCATGAGAATGACCCCTAACACACCTACTTTAGATATGCTTAACCCTGCTGCAAACCAGAATCACCTAGAATGCTTTTTAAGAGCAGATTCCCAGGCCCTTACCCAGACTTTCTGAAACTGAATTTCTAGAAGAAAGGCAGGGAAATCCAGTCATGCACTCAACCAAGCACCCCAGGGGAGTCTATCATCAGGCAAGCTTGGGAAACACTGATCCCAGATCCTATCTCTGGGTTCTGGATATTCTGTGTTCATTTCCCTTGGGTCCTTCCTGAATGTGTAGTAAACCTTCATTTTAAAGGGCCAGCCTCACCGCAGCAAAGATCCAGGAAATTACAAGAAGGATATTATGCCCACTCCCAAGCAGGATCTGAGAAGGGGCACAATCACCCTCCCTAAACCCATGGGGGGTGGGCAGTAGTAAAGCCCTTGAAAGCCCCAAGGGAAGGTGATAATCTTCCAGTGTTGGGCTCTGAGTTTGGATGCCCACTACTGGAAGATTATTCAGAAGCATAGCTGAAGGCCAGGCTGGGGGATAACATGGAAAAGTATTCCCTTTGAGGACATTCTTTAGAAGAGGAGCCTTTTCAACAACTTTTTTCAACATGGCAATTGTTGTGCCATTGATGATAAGGCAGTAGAGGAGGCCATGTGAAAGCAGGGCCTAGGGACTCAAGGAGAAGGTAGCCAAAGAAAGGTTATTCTCTTACCCCACACTCCCTCCCACCTCTGCTGATACACATCCTAAGACCCGTCCTGCCCCCAGACTCTGACAGACCTGAAGAGAGGATGGTTCCAGCCCTGGGTCTTCCTGCATTGCCAAACCTGGAGAAGGGGTGGGTGGTGGTGGTATTTTACTAGAGGAAGAGGCAGTTTTTTATTCCTGTAATATTTCAGCAACATCAAACACAAACCCCATCTCTGTCCCCTCCCCTCTAAGTTGGGCTGCCAGATTTAGAAGAAAAACAAAAACAACCCATCCAGTTACAATTTGAATTTCAGGTAACACTTTTTTAGCATAAATATGCCCCCAATACTCCATGGGACGTTTATGCTGAAAAGAATGTGCTGTTTACTTGAAATTCAAATTTAGCTGGATAGCCCTAATTTTATCTCTCAAACCTACCACTAAGGGTATGACCACAGGCCTACAAGTAAAAGCCCCTGGAATTCCTCCAAAGCCCTCACCAGGCTCCACTCTGGGCAGCTGACTCAGCAGTTTGGAGAAGCACTTGGAAAGCCACTAAAAAGACAGTACTGGACATCCCACCAGCTACATGGGAGCTACTCCCTACTTGGTGAAATCCAGTTCAGACTAACAAAAGAATGTAGGAAATCAAGTTTACCAATGCAACAGCAATGTGGATTCATGCAGCATCTACTTGCAATTGCTTTAAAAGCTTTCATCTCCACTCAGAGCACTCCAATGGAAAGCAAATTTACTTCTTATTTTCTGAGATTATTATTTCATGGGCAAAGGATGGGTGAAGGAGGTACACTCAGTAATTGGCAGAGCTGACATCAAAACTCAGATTTCTTATTCCTTATGGGCCAACTCTGAATTCACCACTCCAGCATTCAAGGCTCTTACTCAAAGATGTATTTACTCATGTCCAGCAAATGTGCCTGTGAAAGGCTGTCATCTGCTCGATTCAAGCCACATGCTCTTAAGTGCATATAATTCAGAGGAAAATATGAACATCATATATACAATATAAAAAGTATGAATTATTTCCTTCTTCAAAGCCCAACCTGAAACTGCAGGAAGGATGGGGGACATTCTGGAGAGCTTCAAAGCATCTAGCTGAATTTATAGAGGGTTTTGTTTGTAATTGGAAGCAAAGATTTAATTTGGAAGAGAGCAGTGATTCTTAGGTGGACTGAGTCCCAAACACTGCCTTTACATGACCTCTAAGCCTTAGAGAGATGCTAAAGTCAAGACCCCATCCTTTCTAAATCCCATAGATGGCTGGTCAATATAAGTTGATCCTGCTTCAAAAACCCCAGAACTCTAGTAGATTTGCATCTTAGGAGAAGGCAACTCCCAGGCAACTGGTCTGGAGGATTGAATCTGAAGAAGGACTTACTTACTCCCCTAGGTAGATCCAAAGACCACTCAGACAAGTGGGGCTTAAAAGAGCTCTGTCTCTGTCTCTAAGATGTTCCTTTCTCCATAGGGAGGCAAAAATGGCATGGCGGTCAGGAAGATGGGCTCTGGCATCAGACAGACAGAAGTTTAAATCCAAGCTCTGTTGCTTGCTAGCTTTCCAGTTGTGGGCACAGAACTAAATAGAGCCTCAGCTTCCTCATATATAAAATGGAATGGAGTTAAGAACTGATGTCATGGGTTTGTTTTGAAGATTAAATGTGATAATCCATGTAAAGCACTTAACATAGTACCTGACACAGAGTAATGGCTCAATAAAATTCTTTCCAAATCTATGATTAAGCCTAAAAACCATTTCCTTGTTGGTCAAGAGCTTAGTCACCAAGTCCAATTATCTATCATGGAAAAAGGCTTGCAGTTTTCTGACTATAATGAACTATATGCAAACATCCAGATTAGTTTAACTCTCTCTCACTGGAATAAACCCAGGCCTTTGAGGAAAAAAAAATTAATAAATTCTATCTATACAATGGAGTCAAATGCTCCTAGAGACTCAGAAGAGAACTGCTTTTCTGGCTAACGCTATCCCAGTTTAAATGACAACTTACTTCCACTCTTTCTCTCCTCACCTTCTGAGATTCCCGTTATGCATATGTTGGTTTGCTTCATGGTTTCCCACAGGTCTCAGGGGCTCGGCTTATTTTTCTTCATTTTTTATTCTTTCTGTTCCTCAGGATAATTTCATTTGATCTATCTTCAAGTTCACTGATTCTTTCTGCTGACAGCTCAAATCTGATTTTGAGCCCTCCAGGGCGTTTTCCATTTTAGTTAGTGCATTTTCAATTCCAGAATTTCTATTTGGTTCTTTTTTATTCCTGTCTTTATCGATATTCTCTATTTGGTAAGACATTATTCTCCACCTTTTTTTCATTCTTTAGGCATGGGTTCTTTAGTTCTTTGAACATATTTATATTGTTGATTTACAATCTTTATTATGTCTAACGTCAGGGCTTCCTCAGGAAGAGTTTCTATTAAGTGCTTTTTTTCCCTTGTGTATGAGTCTTACTTTCCTATTTCTTTGCATGTCTCATAGTCTTTTGGTAAAGCTGGACATTTTAAATACCATGTCAACTTTGGAAATGAGATTCTCCTCCCTCCTCAGGATTTGTTGCTGTTGCTGCTATTTGTTTAGTGACTCTCCTGGACTAATTTTGTAAAGTTTATATTCTTTGTCATGTGCAGCCGCTGAAGTTTCTGCTTCATCAGTTAGTGGTGAGGTAATGATTAGACAGAGATTCCCTTAAATACCTTAAACCAGTAAGTCTCCACCTTTGCCAAGGACCGCCTCTGTGTGGGGGTTGGGCTTCTCCCTCAATGCTCCAGCAGGCAGGTGTCAACTCTGCCTTAGCCTTCACTTCCTCCTTGCACAGAGCCTCAAGGTCAGCCAGAGGTGAGAGTTTAGGGCTTTGTCAGGTCTTTCCTGGTAATGTGGACATGGACTTCTAGATTCCTAAGAATATGTCAGAGCTTTTCAAAGCCCCTATGACCATCTCATTCTCTAGATTTTTGTTTCAAGATTTTTGGCCAGCTTCCTGTTTACCCCAACTGGTATTCTACCTTAGGCAGCTACAATGCTAAACAGTGATTGTTTTCAACAAATGCCCTGGAAATAGTGCTTTTCCCACAGAGCAAGCTCTGAGTCAGGTTAAATAAAAGCAAGTCCTCTGAATGGGGCTCTTCTAGAGAACTGTCAGATATCAAATAATGACCTAGGAATGGGGCTTTTGGGGGAGCTCCAAAATTGTTTTTGCCCCATCAAGTGTCTGTGAGGCTGCTGGTTCTCACAACTACCATGGCTGCTAGGCTGCTGGTTGTCAAGGCTACCACAGAGACTGGGAGAGGCGGATCGGAATAGGGCAAGTTAAAACACAAAGCTCACTGTTCTTGCCATTATTCAGCCATTTTTTTCTTGAATAAATGTCCCTTGGATTGTTGCAAACCTTTGTTGTAGAGTTCTGAAAATTTGATTTTCACCATGTTTGCCAGTGTACTTGTTGCTTTATGGAAGAACAAATTATTCAAGGTCCTCACTCTACCATTCCAGAAGTGCTTCCCTATTTATTTCCTGTGTTATCATTTAACCAAATAGATGAATGTCCAGAAGTATAGTATTAAAACCACTCTGCCAAATTAAAGACCATATAAGCAACCAGCCATGCAAGAGGGGAAGAGGAAGAGTTGCTTTTCTCCCCCACCTCTAGACTGGGATCATTGCCCAGTTATCACCACTATCCTCATTCTCATCCATAGAAAATATTTATTAAGCACTCATCTGCCCTAGAATCCCAAGGTAGGCCTCAAATACCCTGATGTCAGATGCAGTAAGAGTTATGGCGTTCAAAGGTCAATGCACTTGAGATGTTTAACTCAGGAAAAGTGAAAGTTCTCAGAGCCACGCCATACTGAATCTGCAAGGGATCCCAAAGGTCATGTGGCTTTATTACCCATCTAGATAGCCTGACATTCTCCACAATATCCCCACTAAGTAGTTGGTCCCATCTACACTTGAATGCCTCCCACTGATGGGCAACTCACATAACTTCCTTAGTTGGATATCTTAAGTATTGGAAACTCTGTCTTTATATTGTGGGTGAAGGCAGAGACATACTCAGAACTGAAAAGCTGGAGAGAATGAGAAACAGAGACCTGAGACCTTGAAGATTAATCTGCTCATCCAGCACTTTTCCGGGTGAGAGATCATTTATTTTTGTGAGTGCCTGAAAAATAGATGTGCCCCTCTCCTGTGGATGATACTACCTCTTGTCTAGTGCCTCAGCAGATAAACACTCTAATTTAGATAAAGAGCATGATAAGCCTAACATGAAACTCTGGCACAGTTCTACAAAGGGGCATAGGCATTAATTGTGTAATCTTTGGAGTTAGATAAACCTGTATTTGAATCCTGGCTCTGCCAATTCAAAGCTGTGTCTTCTTGAGCTACTTAGCCTGTCTTGAGTTTCAGTTTTCTCATCTGTTGAAAAAGGATAACTAGGGTACCTACCTCACATGGGTGTGGTGAGAGTTAAATAAATAAAATCATATATGAAAAGTCTTGGCACATAGTAAATGCTATTGTAAATACATTTACATAAAATGCAAGGTTTGTACAGAAAACAAGGTTATAGCCAACTGGGGTTTCAGTAAGCATAAATTACATCAAACCAACCTCGTTTCTTTTTTTCTTATGGTTACGGAGCATGTTACACAACTGTTGACTCTTGATTTTAAACAAACTAACTAGTAGGGGCACCTGGGTGGCTCAGTTGGTTGAGTGTCTGACTCTTGGTCTCAGCTTGGGTCATGATCTGGGGGTCATGGGATCGAGCCCTGTTTCGGGCTCCCTGCTCAGCAGAGAGTCTGCTTCCCCTCTCCCTCTGCTCTTCCCCCTGCTCATGTACCTTTTCTCTCTCTCTCTCTCTCTCCCTCTCTACAATAAGTAAAATAAAATCTTAAAAAAAATTTTTTTAATGCATAAATATTCAAATGTATCTTACCAAAAGCCAAAAAAGTGAAATAAAAGAGGGATATTGTCTTGCATTCAGGTAAAAAAGGAGTCAGTGTTACAAAATGACAGAGGATTGGTTGAGGAGTGGTTTATGTGGCAAAACTCATACATGCACTCATTCATTCATTCATTCATTCACTAAATAACTGTTAGAGTGTCCACTCCAGGCTGGCCACTGCTGAGGAACTATAAAAATGAAAAGCCATAAATCCCCACTCTTGGGATGTTCACAGTCTAGGGGCAAGACAGACCTGGAAAATTTTTTTTTAATGGTTCAGTGTTAAGATGTACCAGGAACAGCATAATAAAAGAGGTAAAGGTCACCTTTATAGCAGTGATACTCAGATAAGACTTGGAGGATCAGCAGGCATTTGTCAGACAACTTGACATGGGGAGGAATGGTTTTCTAGGTGAACTTTACAGAACATGCAAAGGCCCTGAGGTACAGCTGACTCTCTGGTTGACCCTGAGCAATAGCTTTATATACACATTTGGGATTTGGAAAGAGTAAGACACACAGACACATCAGGTCTCTTGTCTCACATTCCCAATTTAAATACACTCCTGGACACATGTGCACCTTACCGTAGGTGATGACGAGCAGCACAAAGTTGAGGTTTTTGAAGATCCGGACAATGGAACTTAAGTACGAAGCATCAGGGGATGCCAAGGCATAACTCAGGGACTGGGCCCTGCTGGGGGAATGTTTAGGCTTCTCCTTGAATACTGAAAGGAAAGGAACAGAGAGATCACTGTAAATCCCCATGACCCCACCCCTGCAGAACTGACACATGGACAAGAGCTGGCTCCCTCATCTAGAAGAAGTTAAGACTCGAAAAGGAAATATTAATTCTTCAATTAAATCCTTCAACCCCTCCTTTCTTGAAACTGTTTCTCACCACCTGTGGCTGAGTGAGGTCTTTTAATTACATTTTCTTCATGGCCTCTCAATGGCTGCACTCCTTAGGTCTCCCAGGCAGTGTTCAAGGATCAAGGAGTTCCATACTAAATCAGCAAATAACATTCCGCAGAGCACATAAACTAATATAATAGTAATACATGGCTAGAAAGGAAGCGAGAGCTGAGGTTTTGGGATTAGTGAGCCCAGTGAACGGCTTAGCACCAGAGCTCCTCCCGAGGGGGCAGGGACAGTGTCCCTGCTTAGCAGAGAGCCTGGCACAATGCAGCCAAGGAATATTCCCTAAATAAGTGAAAAGATCTTCTATTGAAAAAACCTCAAGTCCATTCCTAGTTTGTCAAAGTCTGAGTCTAATGTCTGCCTCCTGAAGAGACAAGAGAATTAACACATACCCTGCAGGAGTGGTCACTGTGATATGAAGGACTGGGGAGGGACAGGACAGAAGGGAATGAAACCCATTCATTTTATATTCGATTTTCAGCACAGCTGGTACAATCAATTTGATGGCATTGGTCACTGTTCAGGTTCTGGGGGCAGATAAGTGTAACCAGTAGTTTGGCTAAATTGCCCCCGAAGTTGGGTCCAGGCAAGCTCCATGTAGCCTTCTCCACACACCATGAGAACACTCCTGAAAGGTCAGTAGACTGTTTCCAGTTAGAGGAAGCTCTGGAAATGAGGTTTACTCTCTTGAAGATCAAAGAGGTCCCCCACCCAGAAAACCTTCCAGCCCTAACTTCAGAGCCCTGCTTCTTCCTTCTCCAGAAATAGTCCTGAATTACTTCCTGCCGTTGGAAACCACTCATCCATTGTCTTGCCCGTTCACCTCCCCTTGCAGCAGGGGAAAGAAAGCAAGGCAAGAGGCTATTTCTCTCTGGTTTGTTCAAGGGCCTGGCCACCACAAACCAGAATTCAGATCAGATTTCTCAGTTCTTTACTCAATTAGCCACTCTCTGGCTTGATAATAAAATGTCAAAATGTAGAAATGTCTTACCTTCGGTATTTCAGATGCAAAGAACCACACCCTCATCTGCTCTTAGCACAGGCATTTGAAGCTGGGCACATTACAAGTTGAAACTTAAGGTCTGGTTGAGTAAGAGGGTCCCTGGGCAGACTGTTCTTTCCTGCGGCTATCCACAGCCCCGTAGCTTCTCCCCCGTAGCTTCTCCCCTTCCCAGAAACAGCAAGTCCTCTGCCCAACATTTCCTGCCAGCTTTGAAAAGCCATCAGACTTTCTCATCTTGGACCCCGAGGGAGAGAATGCCTCGGTGAGAACAGTGGAATGGGGTGCACGATCATAAAACTGTTCTGACTCTGGAGGTGAGGATAGCAGGGAAGAATGAGACCTTTACCACGTGGGATGGAATGTTAGGAAGAAAGCTGGTTAACCTTTAAAGACGAATGACTAACTGAAAATGAAAAAGCCTCTACTATACTGTTTCTGAATTTATCACAGCACATGTAATATCACTCAGATGATAAAAGAGGATATAAAATATATTAACCAATATCTCAATGATCAAATGTACATGCACATAAAAATTAATAGTAGTTATCTGAGGTTGCTAGTGGGTTTAACTGGTACAGTCTAAATTAATGGTTATTCCTTTTTATTTTAATTATTTATTTTGTTTATTTATTGAAGTAACCTCTATCCCCAACATGGGGCTCGAACTCATGACCTTGAGATCAATTGGTAGAGCCAGCCAGGCACCCAGGTTATTCTTTTCTTTATGCTTTCTCGTATTTTCCAGATTTGTCCATAATGAGCATGTATTCCTCTTACAGTTTTTTTAAAAAGCCTCAACAGATGTGGTCCCCAGGTATTCTCAGATGAATCTATGAGAGTATTAAGTGTTTGTGGGCCAATTCTGTTTTATTTTGGTTTGTTCCAGAAATTTAGAGTATGGAGTTAGACAGGGTTAGGCAATCTCTGCCACTTACTAGCTAACTAATCTCGAATAATTGACTTAACTCCCCTTAAGTCTCATTTTCCTCTTTGTGGGAAAGAGGGGATTGGTGGGATTGATGATGGTAAACTTCACTCAAGATTCAAGATCACGCATGCTTAGCACAGTGTCTGTGGTATATATCATAAGCACTCAGTGGGGTTTCATCACAGGGATCAAGAGCCTGCCCATTAATTCTGGTGAGGTTTTATTGGGGAACTGGTTAATTACAATTAAATCTTTACTGAGCAGCTAACAAAGTACACAAGACCAGCTAGCACTCTGTTGGCTAAGACATTTGAAGGCCACTAGAAGCCTGGCCTCCAGTTTCTATAAATGTCCATGGTATTCTTTTTTTTTTTTTTTTAAAGATTTATTTATTTATTTGAGAGAGCGAGAATGAGAGAATGAGAGAGAGAGAGAGTACATGAGAGGGGGGAGGGT